CAGAATGAAAGAGGAGGGAAGAGCACAGAGAGTGTGATGACAGATCATGTGTGCTACGGTGGTGGGAGAACTGTGGGGCTTACCCCTGAGGGGAGCAATCAAATAGTGTCCAAAAATTAATAATGGTGGAAGGAAAGAAAAAATACTTCATCAAAAAAGAAAAACAAAACTGGACCACTGTCTCACACCATACACAAAAATTAACTCAGAATGGATAAAAGACTAGGGCTTAAGACCTGAAACCATAAATTACATAGAAGAAAACATAGGAAAAACACTCAGCAAAATAGGCTTCAATGATGACTTCATAGATTTGTCTCCTACAGCAAGAGAAGCAAAGGGGACTATAAACAACTCAGACTACATCAAACTTAAATGCTTCTGCACAGCAAAAAAAGCTCTCAGTAAAACAAAAAGACACCCTACTGAATGGGAGAAATATTTGCACATCATACATCAGACAAGGGGCTGGTATCCAAGATCTACAAGGAACTCACACAACTCAACAAAAAGAAAATATCCCAATCAAAAAATGGGCAGGAGAACTAAATAGGCACTTCTCCAGCGAAGACGCACAGATGGCCAGCAGGCACATGAAAAAATGCAATCGTTCTTTGTCAGGGAAATACAAATCAAAACCACAGTGCGATACCACCTCACGCCTGTGAGCATGACCCATATCACAAAGGCCAGATACAAGTTTTGGCAAGAATGTGGAGGAAATGAAGGCCTCCTGCATTGCTGGTGGGAATGTAGTCTGTGGAAAGCAGTACAGAGTGCTCTCAAAAGAGTAAAAATAGATCTACCATATGACCCAGTGATTCTACGCCTAGATATCTACCCCCAGAACACAAATACACTGATCTGAAGGGACACTCGCACTCCCATGTTCACTGCAGCACTGTGTACAACAGCCAAGCTATGGAAACAATCTAAGTGCCCCAAAACAGACAAGTGGAGCAAGAAGATGTGGTTTGTACACACAGTGGACGACTACTCAGTGATCACAAAAGATAAATTTGTGCCATTTGTGACAACGTAGATGGAACTGGAAGGGATTATGGCTCAGCAAAATAAGTCAGGAGGAGAAAGGCCAATAGGCTGCTATCACTTACCTGTGGAATATAGAGAAAGCAGACAAAGGGGCAGATAAAGCCGAGAGCAAGCCTTTGAAAGCAGGCTGTAGGACTGAAACACTCTTTAAGGGTGTGGGGGGAGCACAGAGTGGAGAGGGAGCAGAGTGGACTTTGGTGGTGGGAGCCCTGTGTACCATCACCCGAAAGGCGCGGGGGAGGGTCCCTATACTTTCAAAATACACAACACACACCAACACTACCTCAATGAAAAGTACTTAAAAATCAGCATATAGTACGTTATGCTCACCAGAATCTAGCTTCTATTTATCACTGTATAGTTGCCCTCTTTTGCCGGATTACCTGGTCTCCCTTCTGGTGATCATTCATTTGCATTGATACCCTAAATGCCTGTTTTGGTTTTGTTCATTTGTTTCTTTATGTTCCACACATGAGAGATAAATGGTGTTTGTCTTTCTGTCTTGCTTATTTCGCTGAGCAGAAGAGCGTCCTGTAGGCTTAACCCACGTTGCTGCGGTGGCAGGCCTCCGTCTGTTGCTGTCGCTGAGTAGTATTCCACTGCATGAGTCCGGTTTTCTGTATCCAGTCATCCATTGAGGGGCACTTAGGTTTTCGCCAGGTCTTGGCTGTTGTGAATACTGCGGGGTGAACATGGGGGTGCAGGTCTCTGTGAATTAGCGTTTTTGTATTTAGATAAATACCCAGAGGTGAATATCCCCCAGATTCTAAACCCCACCTTCATGATCATAAATTCCAGGCAGAATGGAGTACTATTGAGTGAGTGGTTGGAAAAAATACAGCTCATTGATGCAGAAAGCAGCTAGAACAAACTCTTGTTTTCTCTCCAAGATTCAGTAAAAGCCCACAACAGAGTGGTAGAAATAGTCTCCTAGGTCGGTCACTGTGAACGTTTCCAGGATGGCGCAGCTCATTCTTTCTCTCCCACACCCAGAAAAAGTGGTAGACCTACAAAGTCGTCCAGAGCAATGGACAAATCCCTACTGCCCGACTACATGGTACAGGGACGTTAAGGACTTTCTTTGCAATTACCTCTTCCCTGTGCATAATCTCTCCCCTCCCCACCATGGATGAAAACAGAATTATGATACTATGAAGCTGATGAGACAGATCCCGGCATGAGACCGACCTGTCTGGCTCAGACCTCCCCCGGCATGTGGATCTGAGATACTTGAAGCCCAAAGGACACCCTCAGAGCCTGACCCGGTGTGTCTTGCTGGCCAGGAAGCTCCCGTACACCATACCTGCCACACACACAGGGTAGCCGCCTTCTTCCGGCTCCTTATTCCAAAACACACTGAACTGTTAACTGAAACATGATTATGAACCTATTTATCTTGCCCCCCTCCAAGCCTTTCTTATCCACCCCATGAGACCGAAAGGTCACTGACGAGGGAGGGAGAAAGTTGGGAACAAGCTGTCCTGATCAGTCTGAGCCTGACACCCAGGATCCAGGACCTGGTACATTGCCATCTTCAACAAACTCAAGGTGCTATAAAGAAGGGGTGGGGGTGGAGACTCGGGAACTTGTAGTCTCCCTCAGAAGGAAGGAAGCAGCCCTGTGTTGAATGCCTATGTATGGGAAGATGTGCAGCAGATATTCCACAATTTAAAAACACTCTGAACATAATACCCCAAATTACTCTTTGCGCTCATGACAGCCCTTCTGCGTGCTTGAGACTTATCACAGTGGAAGTCACCACACCAGACTTTAAAACACTGCCTTCTAAAAGTTTCCATTAATATAATTTCAGCTACTCAAAACTGAGTTTCCAAGTTTGTCTCTAAGCTATATTTTCTTTTCTTTGTGGAGGCTGTTTGTTCTTTTGTTTCTGGCAATAAGAGAAAAAATTATATAAAATTTGAGCATAATTTTTTAATCTATCAGAGATAGGAAGAAAAGAACCAAATCCTTCCCTATTGTTTCAAAGATTTAAAAAATATATATGTGGTACACAGTGATTACCCTGAGCGACTCAGGCATTCACGTTTTTCTTTTCTCCTTTTTTTTGGTGAAGTCAATAAGGCTGCCCATCAATAGCAGGCTATTAGTGAATTAGTTTTGGGGGCTTTAACAGTTATATCTGGATTTTCAGCTTCACAGGGGTCAAGCACTTTGAACTCCCCAGATTGTTCCAGGATAAACTGTATTTTGCAGTTCGGTAGCTCAGCACTGTGTTGTAAATATACACTGTTGCTTAATTCTGTTCTATATCCTGCCTCTGTCATTTTAATGCTGTCATTTATCCCTGTAATCACAAAGCCTTGAGCTCCCACCTCCAAGTCCTTTCTCACCTTCACAGTCCCGCAGCCACCACACATCTGGACAGACCAGATGGACCCATGCGTACATACACTGGTCTGGCCTTGGGCACTTAGGCTGTTGCCACAACTTAGCTACTGTAAATAGTGCTGCAGTAAACATAGGGGTGCAGGTTTCCTTTTGAATTGGTGTTTTGTGTCCTTTGGGTAGGTTCCTAGAGTGGAAGTGCAGGCCCACATGGTAGATTTCCTTTTTAATCTTCTGAGAACCCTCCATGCCATCTTCCACAGGGGCTGGATGGCCGACTTGCCCACCCATGGTGTATGAGGCTCCTTTTTCTTCACATCTTTGTGAACACTTGTTGTTTCTGATCTTTTTTTTTTTTTTTTTTAAGCAAACAAAAAAAGCTTTATTAACTTATACCAAGAGGGAGATTCAGGCCTAGCTAGACCTAGCAGTTCTGGATAGAAATTGTACTTTATCTCTAAGCTCTTTTTTTTTTTTTTTTTTTTCGAATTTTTGAAAGCAGCATTTTATTTTTTTTTTTTTAAATATTAAATTTTATTTTTATATTCCCCCATACAATTGCAAACGCCCCATTCTGACCCCAATCCTTCCCCTCCCGCCCCCCAAAAAGTGTCTGTTTCTGATCTTTTTGATGTAACCTCCCATTTCTTTCTTACAATTCTTCCGTGGCTGTGTGTAGCCCACCAGACTGCCTGCAACGAGCAAAAATCAAATCCCTCCCTCTGCACCTGTGGACAGGGCCTAGCTGTGCCTGAGACCACACAAAAGGCACCAGCCCCGTGCTGGGCTGGCACAGGCACACGTGTGCAGGCTTCAGGGCCGCTTGGTGGGACCCCAGACAAGGGTCAGAACCACTCCACTCAGATGTTTCTCCTTGGGGAGCAGGTTAGGCATTGAGGACCACGGGCTCGCCTTAACAGATCCTCCAACCTCCTGGCCAATAGGAGAGGTCTAAGCTGTTGGCAGCAAACCGAGGGGGTGTCCAAGTTAGTTTCCGTACTGACATCTCCCTTTTCTTACCAAAGGCAGGTAATGGAGATGCAGTGCTTGTGCGCGGCTGAGATGAAAGTCCGTGAAGAAATCCTCCATGTTTCCCGCTTCAGTTCCTCAGACCTTAGAGCCTTCGGTTGTAACACAGATCCTCAGGGAGGCAGCGTCCCCTGTGTTCCCACAGAGGCAGGATAGGTCTTTTGCACAACCTACCTGTAATTACATTCAGGACAGAATCCAGCAGAAATACACCCAAGAGGCTTGTGGTCACACTAAGAAATATACCCCACACATGAAAGAGACCCAGTGGGCAAATACTTCTGTGCTTGGTGAGCCAACCCACCCTCGACACACACACGCTAACAAAAACATACCATATGCGGGCAGCGTGACTTCCGAATTCTCCCTCATAGGGAATTTGAATGGGGACTTCCGAGAGACATAATTGCTCCCCTCCTGAATAGAAATGAAACGCAGATATGTGGTCTAGATTATGCTAGTGGGCTGGAGAACGGAGAGACTTACAACATTTTGTTTCTGCCAAGATGACTGCACTTTTTCTTTTCCTTTCTTTAAACATAAAATTATTTTTCTGTCCACTTTTCCAGCAGATGGGTAGATAAAAATGGCAGAGATTTCCAAGACCACTTAGCTGGAGAGGTCTGCTGAAAGGGTTGAAAGCCTTAAAGATTGGTTTGGGCTCATTTTAATGACCCAGGAAGAGGAAAAAGAAAAGGTCTGTGTTTCTCAGATTTGTGCAGACACACACACGAACCTGTGAATGGGTGGAAATCCTCAGTGCTTCTCTTCTCTATCTTTCCAGAACACACCAGTGGGTGGGTGGCCAGTCCCACGGGCACAGGGGCCTCACGTGAGGTTTTCATCAGTTCCTCTCAGTGGGCTGGACGCCAGGAGCATGGGGAGGGCTGCACTGGGAAAGGACAGTTAGTTACACAACAGTCACACGTGTAAACCCCACGCCACCCTCGTGTTACTACTCGATTTCTTCATGTGCCCATCTTGAGCGTATATATATTTTTTAAAGATTTATTTATGCATACAAGATCTGGGGTACAGGCCAGAGGTGTGGAGGCGGTGAGAGGATTCACCAGAGCCAGAGTGGGGAATACAACAGGCAGATTGACCAAAGTGTGCTGCTGAGGGGAGCAGCGGGTGAGTCAGGAGAGGTCTGCTGCACCATGTGGCTAGGTCCTTGGCCAGGGATTGAACTCGTGTTGCAGAGGCTGCGGACAGCTTCATAGGTTGCTTCTTAACCCCTTGTGCCACCAGGGAGGTCCTTGATTTTATATTCTTGTAGGTTTGAAAGGACATTAAGTTGTCTGAATACCAAGTATTTCTAAAGGTTTTCCTCCTACTTTTAACTTTTAAAATATGCTGTGGACAGTAAAAATCACCTAAAAATTTAGCAGTACCAAGATTTTTATGTGAAATATTTTTTTTGTTCATATGCCACTTGTTAGTCAGACTTCCTGATGGCAAATGATAGAAACTCAAACTAATTTATCAGCAAAGGACTTTACAGGAAGGCTCTTGGGTAGGTTAATTAGTGGGGAAAACGAGAAATTAAGCTTACTGGTCAAGAATGAATGGAGATTGGTGGCAGGGGACTCGAGCCAAGGTCATGCCACTGTTATATTCTAGACTGTACTCGTGCCTGCACCGGAGACCCTAATGAGCGTCACCTCCCTGGACCCGGGGTCACCACTTCTGTCATCACCACTGTGAAACCAACCATCAGTTCGTCCTCCACATCTTTGCTTCAGTTCCCACGTGTTCAACATTTCAGGTGGGAGTTTCTGGATTTGTTGAGCTGGGGTGCTACTGAGCTATTGGGGTTGGAGAGGGAGCCTGCAGTGCTCCTGCATCCTTGCAGACCTACAGGAAGTTTTTCCCTCAATAAAAAGATCTAGGGAATGCAGAGCCAAAACAGTAGTAGGAACCGTATCACCTCTGTTTTCCCCGACACAGCCATCCATGTCCCCTCTACATCGCCCGCTGACAAGGAGTTTCACGCAATAGCCTCTAGTGAAGAAAGCTATCCACTGGGAACGCTACTCATGTTCCCCACTTATTTTCCCTTTTCCCCTATTTTTCCCCCATTTCTCCTTGTTTCTTTTCCTCGTGGTATTATGTTCCCACTGGTTTTCGTAACCATGTACTATTCTCCATGTAGAATCCGTCATCTCTTTAAAATGCTGCATTTTCAAGGCCAGATCATCCCAGATAACTTCATCATAGAAAGTATGATTGCAAGTCCAAAATGCTAACATCTCAACCAGAATTGTATTTCCAGCTCTGAAATCAGCATTTGCACTTGAATATTCTACTTGCGGATGTTGTACAAAAGCGACTTGGTAACGGTGCCCCCGCCTCTATCATCTCCTCGCTACTTAAGAATATTGTGTGTTTGGGGAAACTAGCTGAGTTTTTGGATGGACTAAGAATGCACTATTACTTCCCAGCTTAAAAAACCATGAATCATGGTGTGAGGAACTACCAGGTCTCAGTCATGAAAGAGGCTGGTGTTTTCACTTTTCAACAAGAAGGAGAGAGTATGTGCAAACAAAACAAGGTTAAAAGTACCACGTAGTAAGAAGTCAAAAAATTAATTTTATTGAATAAAGAAAGTTCGTTCAGGGCTTACACAGATCGTAAGAATACTTTAGATTGTAACAGATGAGAGAGATCGATAGCTGACTGGAAGAAAGCATACAAGCAGTTTCTATGTTCAACGTAAAAAAACAAAAAAAACTAGTTGCTGCAAATGTTTTGAAAAATTCCCCAAACTAACTCTACCCAAGTTTATCATTTAGTGGATTTTCTCCCTCTTCTTTCAAGGGATGAAAAAGTGAGATTCAAAGTGTCCACTATTGGTTACATCTATAACAGTTTGGAAAAATCATGAGACAGAAGCATAAATACCATATAAAAAGACGAGATTTTAAAATTGTAGGATTACGAACTACAGTAAGTGGCAGAGAGACATTAAAACCAGCTGTGTGTTACACTAGCTCGGGAGAAAGCCCGTTAGGCAGGACACACTGATGATCCCTAGGGAAAACAGGCTGTATTTAGGTGGTGGCCAACGGACACCACCAGCAACAGCAGCTCCGGGCCCCTTCTGCCGGCCAGGGCAGGGTCACGGGAGGGCACGTGGCTGCAGCTCAGGCTTTCTCCAGGGACCTGTAGTACTCCATCAGCACCGTCCAGGCCTTGGGCGCCATGAAGCCTTCTGGAGGTTTCTGGCCTTCTCGGGCAAGTCTGCGCATTCGTGTTCCTGAAATAAATTCAAAGTCTTCATGGCTGAGAGAGAGAGAGAGAAGAAAATTATTCCACATTTTAGAAACTTACATTCTAGTGAAATGTTCAGTGAATTTAAAATTTTTCTTAACTGGTTCATTTCTTAACTGGTTTTCTTAACTGGTTCATTCTATTTATGGTAGACAAGCGCAGCGGAAGAGGAAAATAATGTGGAGAAAACACAGTACTAACTGGTGGGTATTATCCTGATTTCAAATGTACCACTGCACAAAAAACACTATGGAAAAGGACTCTTGCGTAGAACTAAGGAAAAATTTTCAATTGACTGTTTCACAGTTCATCGAGATGCACATGCGGTTATAATTCCAGAGACAATACAGCAAGGTCTCTGCAGCCCTCCCGCCGCTAACTCCCTGCAGAACTACAGAGCAGCCAGCCAGGCTGACAGCACAGAAGCAAGTCCCTGTTCCTATTCAGACTTGCTCTGTTTTCCTCCTACCCCTACTGTGTGTTATTAGGTTCTGTGTAATTTCACCACACAGGCAGGTTCCCGGACCCACCAGTCAAGAATCAGAACAGTTCCCAAACCCTGGTGATCTTGGGGCATGCCCCCAGGATCCTTAAAAGCACACCCACTCCTTCCCGATCCAACCCCCTGGCAACTGCTGCTTTAGAATTAGGAATTAAAACAAAAGATCACATTAAATCTAGCACAGACTGAAAACTTTTTAGGAAAGGCTAGGTACTGGAATACCGGAATCTTCAGAGAAAAACTAGAATTTGTAACAGCAAGTAAGTGGCAGTAATTGCTGTTATTCCACTGATAAGCTACCGCAAAGGTAGTTTTCATTTCCTCTTCCTTGCAGATCCTGCAGCCCTTAGGCCTCAGCGCTGAGCACCTCTGGCTGTGACACACTGCTGACTGGTCACTTTGTCCTCTTCCCCCAAATGTGGTGACCGACCTAGGGCACAGCAGGACCCAGCTAGTGTCCTGGGCCACCCAAGTCACCAGGTCACAGCACCATTTGCTCCGGTCAACAGTGGTTCCTTTCCACTTTGTTATTTGTGAAGATGACCTGGGGATGCAGTGGGCCACCCAGCACTGCATGGCCCTCCTCCTCAGGGATGGCAGGCATGTCTGACCAACACACACCTGGGCATCCAGGTAAGCAGATGCACACAGACACTCTGCAGAGAGCTCTCTGAAAGTCGTTCTGTGCTGGTACAATCCTGTCAATAACATGCAGGGTGAAGGCTCGAAACAGGATGCCACGCTTTCCCTGCAACACCACTGCCATTTTACCAAAATGGGGGAGGAGCCCAGGGGAGAGAAGACTAGAAAGAGACACAAGTGCTACTGGTGATTATTTCTGCGAAGTAGTATCGTGCACCTTTTAATTTAGCTCATCATGTTTTCTGCAGTTTTCTATGAGGATGAGTTGGAGCAATTACCAATATCAAAATCAAATTACTACCAAAAGCAATTTTTATAATGCATAAAGCTCATTTTAAAAATCTCTGTCCAAATAGGTAACAGGTGAATAAAAGCATAGCAACGTCAGAAAGTTCTGAACTAATTTCAGTATTAACATGCTAACCTAAAACAAGATACAGGTAAAGAACAAATATATAATGGTATTTTCTAATACATACCTGTACTCCCCTAATTATTATTCAAATGTATAGTAACATAAAAAGGCAACGCATTTTACATATCTATTAACAGTCACATACTAACTCCCCATAATAAAATACGTGCAAAATCTAAAAACACAGGGTAAGACTTGGTAAATTTATACAATCACAATCAGCTACATGTTTTCAGAAGAAACTTCAAAACTAGTAAAAACAAAGCATTTTATAAATTAATGGAAAAGACAATTCTGCGAAAACAAATACTTGGGTATTGCAAAAACAACAGGAGAGAGGAAAATAAAGGAATTCACACAAAACATTTTAGCGGTCAGCTTCACAAGACTTAAATGGGAACAGGGTTAGGGGAATAAAGGTCTCTATGGCCCTTAAACTGAGTTTCTTTGAGTCACTGTTCTAGTGACTATGAACCTTAACTTCCTAAGTGTAAACAGATGATTTATACTATGATTCCTATCAATAATATTTTGCCTGAAATCTTCACGAAGTTTGTTTTTCTTTCTCCCGGAGCCTTGTCTTACACTGGTATTTAATCAAATCAAAAGCTGCAAAATCATTAATTACATAAAAGTTGGCACTGAATAACATCCATTAATCAAACACAAGACAACTTCATGTGGTCATAATTAATAACTGTCTTCGCACTACATCAAAGACAATCGCCTTCCACACAGTTTTAATCACCTTCCAGTATAGTCCCATCAACCTAATTGTATTTGAACACAAATATGAAAAATAGAAAATGAGGGCAGCTTTAACGCTTCCCAAGTTACAATTTATTCAGATTCAGTAACTCAAAAAAAATGCCAAGAAAATGAACCACTCATGCAACTAATTAAGAGTTCATCACTGGAAAATCTTATGAGAACTGATGTAATTATTTAGCGTTTGAGTGATTAAAAGAGAGACTTAAAGCAATACTCCACAGATTTAACAAAACATGAAAGTTACCAAGGGCTTCCCAGCACATCAGTCAACTACATACAGATGGAAGATGGAGTCGAGGGGCCTGCCTGTGATTAAATCCGCTGAATCTGCAAAGACGCCTCTGTCGTGAAACACAAGGAAACGTGTAACGGGAAAGCTCCACTCGGTCTGGTCTGGGTTCCCTAGCTCATCGAGGTGGACACGCGACGGTGGTATGGGTTACCGGCTACCAGCAGAGCTAGTCTGAGGCTCTCGGTCAGTCCTTTCCTAACAGGGTTAGCTTCACAGCATCTCTACACAGACTCCCTGTGTAAATGTCCCGCTGGGGAGAAGCAAAGGGCGGCCAGGATTCCTCCCTACCAAGGTTTCTTTTTCTATTTCTTGTCCCCACCATTACAGCAATGAGGACCCGGGTCAAGGCTACTCCTGAAGACAACTGTAACGTCTCACGGGAAGAGGCTTGCTCTGAGACCAGAGGCTGCTGGAACTCAGCTGGTTTCTACTTGTACCCACTCCAGGACCGCCAGTAGAGCAGACACTGGTAACAGACACACACACACAAATAATTACACATTCCACTTGCTGGACATAAATTGTAATTTGCACAAAAAAGACAAGAAGACAAGTCCTGTGTCAAGCTCCAACTGGATGTAAAAGGGACAGCTGCTGCACAAGGCAGTCATGTCACGCTGTCCTCCTGGGGATGAGGGGACAAGGACAGGGAATGACCCAGGCTCCGCGGGAGTGGCACAGCCAGCTTCTGATTCTGAGCCTCACGCTGCTGTCCACGCTTACAGCCTGCCTGCACTGCCTGGGATGGTATCTACACTCAGCAATGGAAACAGTTTGCTGGGCACGGACAAAGAAGCTCAGTTCTCCATTTCTCTGCACTGTCGTTTTTGGCTCCTCCTAGGAGCACTGAGGAGAGATGCCCTCTGCCTGGTCAAGCACACGGGCTGGAGCCAGGCCACACGTCCCACGCTGGCCTGCCCTTTACCTCCACTCTGTGGCCTTACACAAGTTACTTGGCCTGTGTGTGCCTCAGCGTACTACTCACCTGTAAAACAGGCAAGAACAGCACCTACCTCAGGCCTGTTGTGGGGGACAGTTGATGTAATACCCACAACGCCATCAGAACAGCGCCTGTCACGGGGACTGTGCAAATGTTAGCAAACCTCCCCCACCACACAGATGCCCAGGGCTTTGCAGTGTCACAACCCCCAAGTCCCCCAACTGCCTCTGTGAGCTCAGCAAGGCCAGCAGACACGGACAGCGGAACCACAGCACCACCCTCAGGCTTCACAACCAAATCCCTGGAGTCACGAGCCACAGACCTGGTCCAGCGTTATTTCTCCTATCTTCTGGAAGACTGAGGATTTCGTTTCCTTGGTTTGTGTTTAGTACCTTGCCTTGGTACCTTTTTACCACCCAGCCTGCCTTCACTAAAGGTGTGGAAAGAGGAGACATGTATGACGGCCCCAGGGGGCGGGAGCCCCATGTTTCCCAGATTTGGGTAGGAAACTGCCACTTACTGTTCCGAGTCATAGTAATCCATCCGCTTCTTTTTCTTGTTGTAAGCGGCAACGCGGAAGGGCACGATTTCCAGGGTGATGAGGCCGGGGGCCATCGTCAGCACTTTGGCCCCGTGACTCGGCTCGTAAAGATCCTTCCCTGTTTCTGGATGCGGCATGCCGGCGGGGTCTCGTCCAACTATGTAAAAATTGGCTCCTGCGACCATCCGCGCTCTGCAGTGCCACTGGACCTAGAAGGACAGCTTGCATGTAGGTCAGCAGGCTCTGTATGGCCAGGGCTCAGAAGCAGTGAATGGGTAATAAATGCACATTCTTAACACAATCAATAGCTTAGCAGGGAATCTCAATAAACATAAATTTCTCATCTCAAGAAACCAGAAACAGAATCCCTACCCCCTCCTATTAACCTAAGGATTATAAATGTGTATTTATGCATATGCACTTACATGCATATTTAACGCATGTGGCTTTTGGGATAATGGTAATTACCCTTCTTGTACTGAGTATAGCTGACAAATAAAACTGTACAGCTTTAAAGAGATGGTCTGATGTATTTACACAGTGAAATATTTACTACAGTCAAGCTAATGTGTATGGAGGGAGTAAGAACACAACCTACTCTCAATAAATTTCAAATACCTAGTATAGTATTTTTAACTATATGCAACATGCTGTGCATTGTTACATTTTCAGAACTTATTTGTCTTATAATTGAAGGCTTATATCCTGTGACCAGCTTGGAAACAAAAGTCTGCATCTAATCCACTTTGACATCAGTCCACAATGGTCTGTGTCTTGCTCCAGGCACCTGTGATGAGAGCGTGCTAGCTGTATATGCTCACAGAGGGTTCATGGACATGACGCTGGCGCTTATCCACTCTGCTTACTCCCTATCCATTTACCCACTAAGTACAGTGACACCAACCTTTGTGAAGTCAACACTCATCCATTAAATGGGGATTACAATGGTACCTGGTCAGAGTAAGCACACAATACACGTTATCCACGGTCACGAGTTTTTTTTTTCCTCTCCTCTTGGTACAACTATTTGTTTTCCTAGAATTAGTAACTGCCTTGGTTTTTTCCACACACCTGTGCTTCTGTGGACTTGTAGATCCTTTCTCCTGAGGACATAGTCTACTAGAATCCCCAATCTCCCCTGCAGCGTGGCCCTGTGCCATGTGCCAGTCAAACGAGCCAAACACAGGCCATTAAAAGTGTTACGAGGAATGCAAGTCACAGCCACAGTGAGATCTCCACTCACACCCACGAGAACAGCTTACATCAGAAAGACTAACAACAATGATGAGGATGCAGACAAGGAACCTTTGTACAGTGTTGGTGGAACATAAATTGGTATAACCATTTTGGAAAACAGTATGGAATGTCCTCAAAAAGGAAATCAGAGTTAGCATGTGATCCAGTCATGCCACTTTTGGGTATCCATCTGAAGAATATGGAACCAGTAGTTCGAAGAGCTATATGCACCCCATTTACATTGCTAGGAACACCTATATTCACTGTGGCGCAATTGCTACAACACAGGAACACAGAAGTGCCTATCAGTGAGTGACTGGTTAGAAGATGTACTATATATACACGAACAAATACTATTTAGCTACAGAAAAGATAAATAAAAGATGAAATGTTGCCATTTCTAGCAAAATGGAAGGAACCTAAAGGCTTCAGGTCAAACAAAAAAGTCAGAAGGTAAAGACAAATACGGGAAGACGTCACCTACATGTGCAAAAGCAGCAGAGCGGATGAATATACCAAGCAGAAATAAACGAATGGACTTTGACAACACAAATGCGGTTACCAGAAGGGAAAAGAGTGGGGAGGAGCAAGGGTGGAGGAGTTCCAGTGGATGGTGGTGGACGAAAGAATAAAATTTAAAAACATTAAAACTCCAATTCATAAAAAGTAACACATAAGTAGTCTCCTGAGCACTGTCCAGTTTCTCTTTCCCAATGGCTAGTGGGATGGAGAGGACCCCCAGGTCCTAGCCACACTTCTACACACAAGCTCTCCTCGCATGAGAGCTGCAGGAGTTGTGTCTGAGTAAGACAGCAAAGCAGGAAGCTTAACAGATCTTTGCTACACAAACCTCCGCTTCCTCCACCCACCCTTCTCTCCCCACTGTGCAAACTGTGGTCAAGAAACTGTTGATTGCTGCACTATTTACAACAGCTAGGACACGAAGCAGTGTAAGCGCCCATCAACAGACAACGGGTCAGCAGGTGGTCTAGCCACACTGTGGAGGTGAGTCAGTGATAAGAAAGGTGAAGAGCTGCTGTTTGAGGGACCTGTATCCTAAAGCGAGTCAGAATAGCAAACTCTGGATGATTTCTCATGGCAGGGGATTAGACAAAGTAATATACTTTTAAAAGTAGCACATATTAATAAACGCAGGCCTCTGAGGTTAAGAGGGAGTGGAAGAAATTGACAATGGGATGGGAGGGAGGGTTGGAGGGGAAAGAAATTCATTCTAGGGGCCTCCCTGGTGGTGCAAGGGGTTAGGATGCAGCACTATGAAGCTATCCACAGCCACTGCAGCACGAGTTCGTTCCCCAGCCAGGCAGCTACCCACGTGGCATGGCTGCTGCTCCCCTCAGCAGCGTACTTCAGTCAGTCTGCCTGTTCTCTTCCCCACTCTGTCTCTGGTGAGTCCTCTCACCCCCCACACCTCTGCCCTATACCCCAGCTCTTGTTTGCATAAATAAATCTTAAAAAAATTCATTCTAATTGCATGATTTAACTTTAATACATACTTTTCTCATCTCAAAAAATAATATATAATGAAATTTTAAAAGAGTGATTCATGGACCAACAGCCCAACGACAGGAGGCGTACCACAGACCACAGTCACGACTAACCTAATTCTGGGCATCAGAGGTTCACCCAGGATTTTAGAAAGCAGTCCTGGTTCCTGCCGCAGATCTTCAGTATAAGCAGTGGGAAACTCAGGGTTCACATTTCCCAACAGTATTAAGTAGAGAGGGTCTACACATCATTTAAAATCAGCTTTAAAAAAAAACAAAACATTTCCTAAATGTAGCTCTGATTTTACCTCATCTGGTTCACAAGGACCCTACCTCTCATCACTGAAAGGTATTTCACAGTACAGGGACCCCAAAAAGACTGTGAACTACACCACAAACTTGAGTGAAAAAAAAAAAGAGTTGAAGGCTATCTTACGAAAGACCCCAGAGAGGGTGAAAGGTGGATGGCAGTCTTGGGGGCTCTGGCTTCTAGTTGGGCCCAGATCTCAACAAATCATGTCTCCTTAGCTGGCAGGACGCTTGGAATTGTTGACAGGAGGAACAGGTTGACACCGTGGCAGGATTTACTCCCCGGAAGGTGGTAGGAACACAGTTCAAGGAACACAGTGGCAACCTATTCCTGCTTCAGAGCCTCTGTCCCCAACACAGAGTCAGCTCTGTACTGCGTGTGGGTAATTCCCACAGCAGAGGAAAATCCCTACCTCCAGCAACATGTTTTCTCCAAGATTCAACTGGTAATTCTCCTTCCTCCACCTGAAAGCCCGGACACAACTGCTTGCTGGCACACACCCACACTCCAAGGCACAGCTGACGTCCGGCTCTGTCCCTAGGGGGCCCGAGAAAGCCTGCGTTGTCCCTTACAGAAACGGATTCCGTATTCAGTGAGTTGGGGCAGTTTCCTATGGTCAACGGGAACCTCACAGAGTGAAAATGCCCAGACAGAACTCCTTTTGACCATTAGGAAAGTAACACTCCTTCCTCATGTCTCCCCGCACCCGACCTCGTTCCCGAAACAGAATTTAGGAGTCAAGCCATAACATCTTTATGGGCTGGGAAATCAGGGCCATCCTGTTGATAAGAGAACATGTGTCCAGGGAAACAATCTGGTACCAGTGCCTTCTAAATGACCTCCGGAAGATGATTAAAGGAAGAGTCGTTGTTTTCATTTTATTATTATTAGTTGGCAAGCAAGCGTCACTGGCAGACTTTTTCCTGATGTCTCTGGAAAAGCTACATAAATGAGCATTTTTCTAATTACAAAAGAATCTTGACCGAAGATTTGCGAATAAGCCAAACACACAGTGGGGTGCTGGAGAAGCAGACACAGGATCGTTTTCATCTGTCCTCAATCTGACGGAGCTGACCCTGCCAGGCCACAAGCCTGAAACACCAAACGGCGTAAAGGATGAAGAGTGCCCTAGAATTTCCAAGTTGGTTCGCGAAAGGTTTGGACGTCAGACGCTATCGCTTGCTTGGATACCAGATGCACAGCTTTCTGTTAGGACCCACCCCCCCCTCAACTGAGAATTGACCCTCCAGACGGGGATCTACGCACATATAAGTCTGATGCTCTTTATACCATTCTAGAAACCGGCGTAGGCACCCAGAGCACCCAACACCATTGCCTCCGTCCTCCCACAGCAGAAGGCCTCCGGTAGGCTCCAGGCAGCCGCCAGCCCCTGTGGGACGAGCAGGCATGTCACAGTGAGCCTTGCTGACCTTAAGACCTGACCAGGATTCCTCTGACTCTAGAGGGGGCTCAGATACACTCGTGTAGGGCCTGCACCACCAGTTGTAGTAAAAACCTTGCTGCGTCAGTTTAGCAGGAGTGCTCACCCCTGACGTGGGTTCAGACTCCTCACTCCCCACCGCCCCAGTGGCTGCCTCCGCAAGCACCTGCTGGTCTGTGTCACCAGAATCACCCCTCCCGCGAGTCTGGCGGTCCCTCCTGCAGGCCTCCCTCCACACGCCCACGCCCTGCGCCACTCTCGTCCTTGCCTACAGATCCCCACGGGCGACGCTCAGAACCAAGTTCTAAGCTGTCTCTTCCACAGGGGCAGCAGCTCCTGAGTCAAACCCGCTGCCACCACTTGCACTGCTGACCATGCAGCTCTGGTGTCCTTCGGCAGACCACAGTGAAATCACTACACCTCCCGGAGCTTCAGTAACCTCACCTGGAAAGAGGGAATAAAACCTACCTTGTGAGCTGCTGTGTGGATTACATTGTAGAATGCACGCTAAGAATCTGTTCAGCGTGTGACAGATACTTGCGCAGCACCCAGAAATGGTGGTTTTCATTCCATCTTTACACTTATTTTCCTACTCTTCCTAAATTATTGAACACCACAGGACATGGCCCAGGGGAGGCATGCTCTCATGTGGCCTGGGTGGGAGTGGACATCGGGGCTTTCTGCCATCATGGAAACTCTAGGATTTCTTTCACAGATGGACAAGCCCCCTGACACAGGACAGAATCCTGGGACACCGAGAACTTGCAGACGAGCAGTCTGCTATTGATCGCTAAATTGGCCTGCACTGCCAGGAGCTAGGCGACGTGGGAAGTGATTTACAACTATCCCCCTGACTGCTCACAAGGGAAATACTACAGCGATCACTGCTACCACAGGGCAGGTAACGTGAGAGAACAACAGGGAAGAAACAGACAAATAAAGAAAATCACAACCCACAAGTCCAGGCCATGATGAACAATGAGCAAGCCAAAGCCGCGGTACTGGCGACTCCACTCCAAGGAGGGACAGCAGGGCCGCCCTGCCCACTCCGCTACAGGGGAGTCCAAGAGTTTATTTCCAGCCTGATTCTAAAACCCCGTGGCCACGTGCTTTATTATTATGTAATAAGAGTGGACCATTCTGAGAACATTACAGTTGAATACATTTTATAATCTTCAGTTTTTCGTCGTTCTGTTTTCCTTGCATGAAGAGGTCTGTGTCGCGTACAGCCCCACTACTAAGCTCTGGTGAAAACATTCAGATGGACCCCAAAGGACAGCCACACACAGTTCGATTTCCTTTTAGACTTTTTTTGGAGGAAGACAGCTCAGGGAATATACAAGGAAATTCTTCAGATCCTTTCTAAAAGGATTTGCCTACCAGAGCAATCTGAATATATTCCTCTCCCTTCAAGGCAGGCATGAAAAGGGACGCAGAAACAACACGCATTCCATTCTTTATCTTGGAAACCCAACATGGAGCTGGCTGGGAGTTTCCCACACACTGGTTTTTAGGTCAGTCATTGATTTATTCACTCATTCATTCAACAAATACTTTTTTTTAAAATCCTACTCTGCCCTTGAAGCAAACCCCAAATTAAGCCATCTTCAAATATAGTTATAAAAAGATCTCAAAATATCCCTCTGACCACTAAATAGAACCCAGAGCCCTCCCCCAACCATAACAGAAAATACTACTTCCCGGTCCCCTTCAACTCTAGTCCTTCACAAAGCACAGAGGAAGAGAGGTATTAGGAGCGTGTTTTCAAAAAACCATGCTTTTCCTCCTGCTGAAATACTTTTGGCAATTCCAAATTTCAGAGAATGCCAATATCTATCCCCTGGGAAGAGTGACTAAGGGGAGAAGCCGGGTATGAGCTGTTGTCTGCACACGTAGCAGTTGAGAGGGCAGCCCCCACCTGGCCACACCGCGCTCACCCAGCCCCGTCTGCAGGGACAGCTTGGGATCCTTGTCTCCCCCACTGAAAAACCAGAACACTCTAGGTAGACTCCCTTTACACAGGTAGTTAAGCTTTCTCGCCTGCTAATCTGCCTGATGCTGTTTGGCTTACACAGCCATCACAGAACCTTGGGGGGCAGTGGGTGGGGGGGCATCCTTCTACCCTCCCACAAGAGCAGTTTCAATGCAGCAGCAATGAAAATCTCAGCAGCAGCCTACCTCAGTGGGCCCAGCGTACATCATGGGAGAAGGGAAGATGGCCACGACTGTACTTTCGGGATTCAGGACGCCCTCCTCCAGCACTGCAGCATGCTGCTTCATCCGCCACATCAGAGGAACATCGTCATCCTTTGTCCAGCCCCCGAGAGGGTGAAGGAGCAGTACAGGGCGCCGGTAGCCCCGCTCCAGAAGTTGCTTGTGGGTGTCCTGCATTAACAGAGCATGCCCGTTGTGCACTGGGTTGCGTAATTGAAATGCAAAGACAGCATCTGAAAAGAGAATTTCCAGAGTTGAGAACAGCACATTTCTAAGAGATTACCTTCCAAAGGGCAGACGAGTTTGAGGTTAGCGCAAGAAAACATGCAGCAGCACAACCGGACCGAAACTGGTGAAACTGTGTCCTGCCCAGATGCTGCTATATTTTTTACTTTAAAATACAACAGATATAATGGTGATGGGTCTGTAACAGTAACTTTCTGCACCCTTGGGAAACTGGAGAAGAGCAGCAGACTCCGAGGCAAACATCCTGGTTCAGCCTCCCAATGGAGGCCAATTCTTGGCCTCTGCCATAATTATCCACCAGGTGGGATGTTGGTGTGCGAGCTTTGATGGAGGGTGAGTGAAGCCTGTGCACACATGGAGGAGTCAAAGGTCACCCCAAAGATATACAGACATGTAAATGAATGAAAAATTACTTAAAAAAAAAAAAAGACATGAGCACTTCAGAAACGCCCCTTTTATGAACGTCCCAACAAGGAACACGGAGAGCTCCAGCCAGAGAAGGACTGATGACACGGACTGGAAACTGGGAACAGGAAGGGACAGGGCAAAGAGAAGCCTTTGCTGCTGTTGATTTGGCTTTAAAGGAGGCTGCTGGACAATGGCATGATGTAAACAGAGTCCAGGGATCAGACTGTACGACACCATGGCTATTATCCTGAGTTCAGTGGGCGCACTGCAGCTAGGAGGAGACTGTCCTTGTTTTTAGAAAACGCACTTCAGGTCTACAACCTTCAAAGAGAATGAGAAAGCAAGTAAGGTATAAGCTAATAACTGTAGCATGTGGTGGAATGTACTTGTGTTCTTGGTGCGACTCCTGTAATTTTCCTATAAATTGTAAAGGATTTCAAAAGAGTTTAATAATGAAATGGAGACATATGAAGCAATGGATCTTATTTAGACCCTGATTCAAACAATTTTTTTTAAAAATGTGTCTACTATGAAGTTAGAAATGTGAACATATCCTGGATATTGAGATACTAACACACTTACAGATATCAGGGTTGTGCTTTTTAATTTTTTAAGTCCTTACCTTGAACAGACAAAAGTAAAGCTTTCGATAAAACAACACAGGGTTTGAAATTTGCTGCAGAATAAAGACGGGTGCAGCTGAGGACAGGGGAGGATGATAAAAGATGAGTCAAGAGTCAGATAGGTCAGAGGTACCTGGGTATTCACTCCACAGTATCTGGACTTAGCAGTAAGGTTTGACATTTCCCAGACAGTTTCAAAGGAGAGGATAGATGTAGGATACCAAGAAACACTGCTTTGGGACAGAGTAAGAATGAGTTCAAGACCCAGAACTACCAGTGTTAGCCATGGAGCGTATCAACGACTGAATTTCCCTTTCTGCTGTCCTAAAAAGGGAACGACACTAAGGCTATTGTGATGAAGATACAACAACATCAAGGTGTGCACCGCAAACCTGAGTTTCTTAAGAATATCATTCTGTTGGGTCTGCTTTTGCTTTCTGTGTTTTTTCATTGAAGGAACACTGCACTGTAACACTGTGGGAGTTTCAGGTATGCCTCTTTGAGAATCAACAGGTGCAAATGCTAAAAACCAATTCCAAAAATTCTCAGCAGGAAATGAACCCACTGTTTGGCTGTGGGTCAAGGGCCACTACCATGTGAACCCACACTCCCAGGGAGTATCTAGGATGAAGGGGTGGTAATCAGGAACAGGCGCCCATCTTCGAAGGGCACCCTGGGGAATACATGTCCAGGTATGACGACTACATTCCCAACTTCAGCCAGGTCAAGTCTGATTCTGTAAAATCACCATGTAGCACACGTCCTCACATGACAGGATGTGCAATGAGGAAACAACACAGTCAGCTGTCTCCTATACATGTATTTCACCAACGCTAAGAATTCCTCTATCTAGATCTTCTTTCCAAAAGAATTAATCAACTCCACACTAGAGATTTAACAGTTAGCAGCTAGGCAACTTATTAGAAGTTCACATTCGCAGTCCCACCAAGGATTTCACTGCCAAAATTTCCTCCAGGTAGAATTATTTCCTTACTATCTACTCCACTCAGAAATTCAAAGGCCATTTCATCTGTCTCTCCACTTTTTTCCGCCTTTCTTATAAAAGCCCCTACTTGCAGCAGCCATTAAAATGTCAGAGGGAGGAGCCCAGGGGACTGAGGTGAATGTGCACGGGTGCACTGGGGAAGGAAACGCTATGGGGACTACACCTGAGGGGGTGGAGGGGAGCAAATATTGTTTAAAAATGAGTAATGATGTAAAAATAAATTAAAAATTTTTTAAAAGATAAAAAAATAAACTATCAATATTAGGTCAAAAAAAAAAGTCTCCTTTTCCTGTCCCTGCCCAAGCCTTACTGCCTGCCCCTAATCTACCCCAAAGCTGTAAGAACAGGGATTTCTGATTTTTCCTAAGTCAACAGTTGCTTGACCACACTTTGTGAATATTCAAGGAGTGGAGAGAGAGAGAGAGAGAGTGTGTGTGTGGGGTTACTTTGGTGGGTTTTTTTTTTTAAGAGTTGGAACTAAGAATGAGTCTGAACGTCCTCCCCCGTCTGGATGTCATAAATCACCGGTCTGTCTTTTACTTACAATGTTTATGAGGGAAAAAGTAAATAAAAAGAATCAAAGAGATGGAGAGAGACTGCTTGAACAGACATGAACACAGTTGCTACAGCGTGACCGCACAGTGACTGTCACGCCCCAAAGCAAGCGCGCGAGGACTATTTCAGCCTCACGTCCCAAACACCTTTGGTTGCTAACAATGAACATAAAGCTTTCTGCCAGCGGGGCACTGTGTTGTTGCTCTTCCTTTCCCCAGCATCCGTTCTCTGCCTGTGTGTGCGCACGTGTCATATGTGCACGTGATCTATGCATGTGTGCATGTGACAGTATGCATGTGTGAGTGTGTGGTGTGTGTCTGTGCCTGTGCGTGTGCTGCCCGTGAGTGGATGTGGCTGGCGCGGGGGAGTGCTGCCCTCCACCTCAGCGGTGGGAGACTCAGCAGGCGCCCAGAGGATGGGTGAGAGGCAGGGGCACTCCGGCCCAGGGAGCACGTGCTTCAGTGCTGTGACCTGGCTGTGCTGACTGCCTAAAACCAGCTCTGCCCAGCGCCCCACTCACCCAGCTTCAAAAGCAGTTTCCTTCCAGCCCCATTTCCAGAGTGGAAACGCCACCTAGACTTAGTCCCTGGAGGCCTCAACATTCCACTGGGTTCCCTAACCCTGGTCATACTTCTTTGCTGAATTTATGCTCAAGGTCTTATCTGAGGGGCACCTGATCTGACTGAGGGTGACACACACATCAGACAAACATCCCCAGGGCACGGCCACTGATGTCACGAAAGCCTGGGGCCTTTGTGGACAAGCTACCTGCCACATGTCCTCCTCAGTCTGCCTAAAAGAGCTGTCACACAGCTCCAGGTGTACGAATTATCATTTGTAGTTTAACAGCTCCACAAAGTTCTGAGCTTTACTTGCCACTGTGTGGACACGTACTGGCTTGTAAGAAGTTGTCAATTTTGCCTCTGTGACAGGTTAGGACACCAACATTCTCTATGTCATAAACATGCACTCCCACTTGGCTTCCTTCTTTCTTTCCAGGGGAACAGTCAACCATCAGTGGCTCAAAGACCCTGCCATCTGGAAGCAGATCATACAGACCTCCAACCTTGCCAGCTACAGAATGTTCTAGAAGAGCAATACTGTTCAGATTACTGTGCACAGTACAACAGCCCCCACGGGGAGACCAATGTTCTTCTGAGGTGAGGGATGGAAGAGGAAGGAGAGGTAATAAAAACTGCAGGTAAAAGGAAAACAATGAACATTTCCCGTTTTCTCTCCTTATCATGCACACAGCAGCAGATGATTTATTATTAGGGCTTCCTAGAAGAGTAAACAAGAGCTACAAAGTAACCCCCTGGTCTGTTATCTATTTGCCTTGATCTAAAGTGGAAAAGTAAACAAAGTAATTCCCCAGGGTTTTTGTTGTCTGGTGTGAGGCTACTAACTGGCTCTAGGCTACTTTAAACAAAGTCTCCATAACTCATTATGCAACAAACTATCCCAATGGCATAAAACGTTTGCCTGATGCAGGGGAGGATAAAACAGATGTAATATGAAAGCCTCCAATTATGATTGATTCCCTGATAAGACCCCTCAACCGTGCCAGTGACTTATTTACTGGCATGCATTTCAGCTATGAATTCAATATTTGGCAAAAAATGAAAGTAAATGAGGTGATCTCAGCAAGTCCTTCACTGAACATGACCCTGTTCTCCACAGATGCTTCTGGCTGCAAGAAAAGAAGACCCAACCAAGCATCTTAAGTAGCTCAAAAAGGCATGAAGTCTTCAACTCAAAGAGCTGGACCCCGGGATTGGATGAGAAACTCAAAAAGGATAATCTCCACACATCCTCAGGGGTGCAGAAGGGATGCCCAGGCTTTGGTCCTCACAGAAGCTAAACACACTGAGAAAAGGGTGGTCTTGACTGAGATGTCTGGAGTCACTTGCAACCCATAATGGGGACCCATAAGGCTTGGTGGCCAGTTGTTTCCTGAAGAGCAACCACATTCACCTCACTTTTCTCAACCCTATCGAACCGTTCCCAAGAGAAGACATTCTGAGATATGAAGCACACCGATCAACTCTGCAAATAACTTCTCTCACATGGTGCTAAACGTGTCAGCTTCTTAATCCACAAAAGTCAACTTGCTGACAGCATCCACCTTCCAAAGCAGACATGGTAATGTTAGCCTAAGCACAGCGACAGAGCAGAACCACCCAGGTCGGATTAGCTGACTTTCCTTCCCCATTCCACTGCTCCATTTACCTCGACTCAACTGTCTCTTATGCTTTAGTCAATGCTGGAACAAAACTTCTAGAACTTTTTCCATCAGGCAGAGATGCCAAGTACTCCCACATGAGATCATCCGATCCCTATCTTACCGGCATTCATGTCTTTAAATTTCTGCTTGAGCTCGGTAGGAGTGAAACGGTACTGGTCGAGACCATCATTCCAATAAATCCGGTCCAAGACTTGAAGATCCCCCCCAATAAGCCAGTCTCCTTGCTCCATAACCATCTACAGGGAAGAAAAAGGAAATTATTTTTTTGAAAGTATAAATTCAATTTAAAAAAACTTTTTGCCCCTCAAGTTTTATTGATATGCCAGTCGCTTATATAACTATATAACCTCGGGGCACAACTCCACACCTGCACACATGTCACTCACCCTCCACCAGCACTCCAGAGTCAGGCTCTGTCACCTCCCTGCCCACCCTTCAAGGGAGCTTGAGACCTGGGTGCGATGGATCTTATGTTCTCACGGGGGACACCCGAGAAACCAGAGAACACTCAGCTGCTGAGGAATGTCATACGGAAAAAAGCAGGGTGGTGGACATAGTGTCTGGGACACACGAGAGGGTATTTCAGAAAAATGAGTCAGGCGGGGCCGCTCAGAGGAGAGTGACATTGACCCTGAATGGATGAAAGGGAACAGGTCACGCAGGGACAGCACCTCAGGTGGAGGGAGAGCAAAAACAAAGCTCTGGGGCAGAAACCAGCTTTTGTCTCGCAGAGGGCAGAAGGAGAGCAAGAAGGTCAGGGCCTTAAGAGCCAGGCAGACACATGGGTGGGTTATTTTAATCACACTAAGGGTGGCGTGATGTCCTCAGATTTTTGTTTCTACAAGATCCTCTTCTGGCAACTGTGGGAGTGGACTATGACTCCACCCCGGCTTGAGAACAGGAGGGCTGGTAAGCAGGTGGGAGTGGAAGGGCCTGGGATGCTGCAGACTCCACCGAAGCTGCCGGAAGCACACAGCGGAATATTATTCAGTCAGAAAGATGGCTTCCGTCATTTGTGACAACACGGGTGGGGCTGGAGGGGATTACGCTAAGAAGTCCGAGGAGAAACACAAGCATGATTTCACTCATTCGTGGCATTTAAGGGGGAAAAAAACAAAACAAACAGACAAAACAATGTGCACACTGCCCCACATGGCAGCACCAGCCCCTGGCCCTCTGCGGACACTTAAAATACATTTGCGCTGCTTAAATGGTGGGCCTGGCGTGACACTACACATCTGACAAGGTGTGAACCTGCACCCTTAAAACACACAGCATTGTCCCCAATGTTACTGGACAAAAGTAATTTAATATAAATGAAATATTTAACATAAAAAATAAAATATTTCAGGAACAACAAAAAGTCTATTATTGAATAAATATTTCTGTGGACCAAAAGGGCAAGTTACTCTGCTGACTACTAATATAACATCCAGTCTTAATTCTGCAAAATACTGACAATCCCAATGGTAAAGCTGATACACGGGGAATCCCGGCATTTCATTACTAGCCAATCAGGACAGAGGCAGGCGGGTTTCAACAGGACCTTGATGTAGGGGTGGTTCTTGCAGGTGGTTCCCCACTGCCGGGCGCAGCGCTCCTCCTTCCGGTGCTCGAAGAACTCTGGGTTGCGAAGAATGGCGACGCGGCGCCCCTCGTACACCAGGGCGACAGCTGTGCAGCCATCCAGCCTATCCTTGTCTTCATGGGTGGCTGTCAGCACGATGGGCACTGACAGGTTAATGACACCCCCTGCATGGCACAGAGAGCAGAAAGCACACAGCACGCATTACTAGCATGCCTTGGGCCAGCATTCACTTCTGACATGCTGCACAGGTGAGGAGATGGATGTACCCAGGGTCCAGGTGGGACCAGTGCTTGGCATAGAAAATCGGGAGAAAATCAGCAACTAAAAAAAGAGTTAAAGTTAAGAGCATCCGCACTGTGGGCAGCAAAATCCCCACAATTCACAAAACTATCTGGTGGGGGGGAACACTTGGTGTTGGAGCATAGAGAGAAAGCACTGTCTTAACAAGGATGGATGGCTCAAGGCCAACACCCCCCAAGATGGACTGCCCCCCTTCAGTATGTAAGACATGAACCATGTTTCGGAGCCCTTTCGGGAAAAATCGAAACCCTTGCTCATGACTACATTCCGAGTGGCAAATATACATGAAACAGCTGGCTCTCCCTGAGCCAGAGAGCAGACAACGCCGAAAATATTGTTTTATGTCTTGGTTTTTAATCAGAATTGAGCCACTGTCAGCTATCACTGACCAAGAAACAAAGCTGTCATCAGCGGCTCTATCTAAACCAAATGAGTCACCAGTGAGACCCACAGCCCATGAGCAATTTCCAACCTGTCAAGCTCTGAGTTGTTTCCTACTTGTTGTGCACAGGTGAGAAAAAAAAATGAGCTCTCCAGCTCCCCAGTGGGCGTGCATCACAAGCCGACGGCAACCATACTGTCTTCAAAACCATAGCACGTCTTCCTTGGACAAAAGGCACCATCAGAATCAGTCCTAATAGCTTGGCTGCTTTAAAATCACCACCACCAGGTACAATTCAAAAAGATAACAGGTGAATTTGCACCAAACCCAAGACTAAATCTTTCCCAAGGAGGCACTCCACCAAGACTGTGCTCCCAAGGATGAAAATCAAAAAGCAGCATTTAACACCTTGTTTTCTTATAATACAGTTTCTAGAGAATCATCATCCAAAACTACATTTTCCAATATCTAATTCACTGCTCAAAGAAGTTGTAATGTGGAAGAAAGCAGTAGCAATTTAAAGAGGTTCTATACCCAACCTGCTTTCTTTACTGTAGCAGAATAATCTTACCGATGGTAGGCAGCTCAAGGTAGCTGGTTTGTCCTTATGATGCACAGAATGTCAATTTCTTTGGCAATTATTTTTTAGTATTTTGAAAGACCAGAAAGAGTCACCCTTTGAAGTTATTTCTGGACTCTTCAGTTTATACTCCCTAACTTGTATGTCTCAGTCTTCACATGCCACCCCCACTAAGATGTCACCAACCCTTTGATGAGCAGTCCCTGCCAGTGCCACTGCCCAGCACAGCCCGCGCACTGCATGTCTTACCATCCAGAAGACAGTCGAAGTGCAGGCACTGCAGGTACTCCCTCTCCCTCATGAAGCCGTTCAGCGGGGTGGCCCAGCCTTCTGCCAGCACCTGCACCCACTGCATGTCCACCTGGGGAGGACATGCATGAGGATGATCCTACATCACACACTTACAACAAAGGCAGGAATAACCTCAGAAGGAAGTTCAGTATTGTAAGAAATGTAAACAAAAGTCATTATAGATTATGTAAATCTAATAAAGATGAGGGCACTAGGCAAAATAAGCAGGTTTCTAAGCACTGTTAGTAAGGATGGCATCTCCTAAACCAGTGAGGAGTCATTTTATCATTAGTCAGAGATTCGTATCATTTATTCTCAGTGTGTATATGTGTATATACACCTGTGTGCAAGTATGTATGTAAGCATGCACACAACTGTATGTATGTATTTGAATGTAGATAAATGTGTACGAGGGTGTATATGTGAATGTTTACGTGCATGTGTGTGAATGGGTGTGCCACTGCGTGAGTGTGCGTGTGTGTGTGTGAGAGAGAGAGAGAGAGAGAGAACAGAAATGTGTGCGTGTGTGTTCGTCCCATGCCAGCTCCCGAGTGACTCTGCTCTCTGACTCACCCTCTCTCTGAGCCCCCAGCATGTCCTGGCTTCTGGTCAAAGACCCGGTCCCACAAACCACATCAAATACCTACTCTTACAGGGACCTGAATAGCTACTCAGAGAGAGTCTTTCTCCAAGCCTAGAAGCTGCTGGGTTTGCGCTTTCTCCTCACTTTCAGACTTGGCACTTCCCTGGATGTTCTGGGTTTTTATTCTGCTAAAAGAAAAGCTGAGAAATTAACTCCTGGCCCAGGTTCTTCATCTTCAATTCCTGCATTTTAAAGCATTCCTAATGACACAATTTAAAATTCTCTAAGAGTTGAAAATGATAAATTATAGTTTCCATGGTCATCAGATCTAATTTAACTTAGTTTCTCATGTTGGGAAAACACTAATAGTATCACAAGAGCTAAGCTGCACAGTAGAACTCTTAAGGATGTAAGAGAGCCAGACACTTGGGCAGGGGATTCAGGAATATGGTTGATGGGAAAAAATGTTCATTGGAATTTTTAGATTTAGTATTTTTTAACCTTCTACAACCCATTCTTTCCAATAAGTCTGAAAATCTTATATAATGTTATTCTTTGACACTCCAAAATAATTACCATGACTAAAAGTCAAAGCCATGGTAATTTGGGATTTTGGTTTCACAAATTAAACAGTTCCCATCCCTGCATAGTGGGGTATCCACTACAACTTCCCTCAAACCCAGCTAGCTAATCCTGAATTTTCCAGAATAATGACTGTATGAGGCTAAATCACTTGGTATAATAAGTAGCAAAGCACTTACTTTATTAATTTTCAAGGCTGGTAATGTTTCTGCATCTGTTTTTGCCAAATGAAGTTTATTTTCTGGCACATACAGTTCCTTCACTTCGTAAGAAGCATCCACAGGTACGATATCCTATACAACAACAAAAGAACAATTAGGTGTGTGATTCAGCAATTTTGAGTTCCCCCAGGGGGAGCATAAAGAAGAAAATCAACATTTCGAGCGGAAACTTCAGAAAAGCAGCACAGAAGAGGGCTCTGAGGGCCACACCCCCCCATCACTGCTCCTCATGTCAACTGGTTTACTCTCGAGTGAAAACGTGCCACATACAAGAAGGCCCTAAACATAACATCTGTGGTCCATGGAAAAGAAGAATAAATTCTAGGATGTGCCATGCACAGTGGAGATGATAAAAGAATTTGGAAACAAAATACCTAAATGAGGATTGGTATCTAAAATTTACAATGATCTCTTAAAGCCCAGGAAAAAAACAACACAGCCCAAATAAAAAATGGGCCAGACACCTGTAGACAGCCGTCACCAAGGATGTGTGGATGACAAAGGCGACTGTGAGGTGACGCTCCCCATCTCCAGTCACCAGGGAAGACGAGGGCACCAGCACCCCCTCCTGGGCTGGCCCAAACCGGGAGCGCGGAGAGGGTGAAACAAACTGGGGCAGACTGAACAGACCCTTCTCAAAGAAGCAGGCAGCGCCTCCTTGGTGCCTTTGGCCACAAGCCCAGCGCACTGTACTGTGATGGCCCGGCCAGTACTGTGATGGCCCTGCCGCTGCTACAGGATGAGAGGATTCTTAGTGACCGCACCGTTTTTTGTGTTGGTTTTTTTCCCAAGAAAAAAACTGGATGGATAATCTCACAGATGCCCTTGCTATGAGCTGGAGCTGGGCTGGCAAACAAGCAGCACCCGTCACCTGGAGAGCGCCGCTCCTGCCTTCTTGTCTCAAGCTTCCTAAAGAATTGTGATCACGTTCAAAAACAAAACAATCCCACATTTCCAGTGTTTCCTTTAAGTACTTTCTACACTTTTGTCTTGGGCCAAATCTGCTCAACAGATTCGAATGCTGGAGCTCATTCATGTTTTTATGTAACTATTACATTTCGATTATCTGAGTAACATGCCTCCACAGCATGAACCCAAGCAACGCTTTAGAACAGAGCTGCTCCGTCTGGTTCTCAGGTGCAGTATGAAATCCGCCTACTACACTAAACCTTCCATTTCAGAAAAAGACAAACCTTTAAATAATTTATAGCACTAGTAAATCTAGAGTGCCTGGTAGATTTACAAACAGTATTTAAAATATCACTTGAGATTAAAACCAGCGGCAAAGCCTACTTCTTGAGGCCATACGCCGCCAAGTTCAAATGCAACCCCAGCAGGCCACCTAGTGACTATTCGGGGTTAGGATAAAACTGAAATCCCAAACCTCTATTTTCCAGTCTCCTCTTTTCTTGAAAAAAGCCTAGTGAAGCACCTTGAGAAATAAAGATGCCCTGAAAACATACTGAGAAATTCGGTGCTCATACACACGACCACGTTACCCCCTCCCGCTGAATTCTATCACAGCGGACAGATGAAAGAGAACAAGGCACCAGAGGCGCTAGGTCACGCGACACTGCACTATCAAAGCCCCAGCACCCTGAAATCCCCAGTGAACACTAAGAACACATTTTTCCCTAGACCGTGAAACCAATCCCATCTCAGTAAAGAGAAACATTAAGGAAATAATACCTGGTGGAATTATTTTAGAAATCTCTCCAAAACAATACCAACCATCAGAGAGAAAAAATCCCGTATTCCTTCTCCCACTCCTGTCTTCCCTAGAAATGGTCCCAAATGACAGCACCTGTGCTGCTCTAGTGAAAAGCTGGGGTGCAGTGGGGGGCAGGTATCAGTCCTGGCCCATTGTACTGCAAACACTTGAATCTTCTGAATGAATGTTACATCTAATCAGATGTAACAAATGCCTCCCCAGTGACAAGTTGAGCCTTCTCTGCTCCCCTGGATCACCAGGGAGGGGGGACAGCACGGAAAGCAGGTGACACAGGCAAGCACCAGGCCATCAGGTGAGAGGACAGGTGGTATCACCAACCAACCGTGAACCCCGGGCTGGACCTCAGGTATGCACTGGTTCCCCAGGTGCCCAATGCTCATCTGAGAGTCAACTTCGTGAGACAAAGGATCGAAGGAGAATAAATGTCAGAGTAGCCATGAATGTGTGTGTGGGTGTCTTTCTTCTTAAATTCCATATCACATTATAAACGAAAAAAATAATGAATGAATGTGTATAGTCACCCCAGTCTCTCAGTATAAATAATGAGGACCATGAATCAGGAGTTTTGCTGTCTGATTCACTGCCACACTCCATGTTTTACAACAGTGCTTCGTCCACACGGCACCAAGTATCTGCTAAATTAACTAGCAGATCGACCACATACAGCACTGAAACACACCCTTTCAATGGGAAGTGAAGTCATTTACTTAGGAAAGCCTTCTCCCCAAAGGAAGGCAGCATGAAAAGAAGGCAGATGCATGAAAGAGCTGCTTACATTTCTTCTTCTGTCACCACCCAGCATTAGGATAAAAATAATCAACAAAGGGAATTTTTTTTCTTAAACTAAGAGAAGCACAACGCCTTGGTGTGTGTGAACTTGATGGCACTGCACTCACAGTACCATGGAAATCTTATCTGGATTCCTGATCTTACCACCAGTCTAAAGTAATGTAAGGAAAAGAGGAGTATTTTTAAAAATGCAATGGAAATGAAACCAGTAAAATCAAAATGTAGGCAATTCTTTAAGACATAAATACATAAGGAGCAGAACAAAAAGACAAAAAAGATGGAAGGGTAAAGTGAATCCCAATTTGCACAGACTCACAGCATAAAACAGAAATCGCAAACTAAGCAGAGAAATGTCAGCACTGATTGGGTGTCTGACAATAGTAAGGAATTATTAAGGACTGATTAATTTTAATTTTCAGGTGTGGCACTGGGATTGTGGGTGTTTGGGTTTTTTTTTGTGTGTGTTTTTAAGAATCCTGCTCTTTAAGAATTATTAATGTATTAATGCATTAATAAGGGGAAAATGAGAATACTCTTTTTTTTAAGATTTTTTTTACACTTATAAGTGTTTGGAACCAGCAATTTCCTTTCTTTTTTTTTTTTTAAAGATCTATCTATTCATCCATATAAGCACTGGGTATAGTCAGAAGCACGGGAGGGTGAGAGAATTCACCAGAGACAGAGTGGAGAGCAGAATAGGCAGACTGACGAAGTACACTGCTGAGGGGAGCAGCAGGTGGCAGGAGAGGTCTGCGCACCATGTGGGACCCTCACCCAGTGGCCAGGATCAAACCGGCGCTGCATAAGCTGCGGGCAGCTTTGCAACCCAGCACTCAACTGCTGTGCCACCAGGGAGGCCTAAAAATGAGAATACTCTTGAAAGTAAAAGTCAAAGTTATATGAAAACGCATCCTGGGACTTCATACCCCTGGAGGCCTATGCGGAGAATCCTGCATGCCCATGAGCCAGTGACTTAGTGGCTCTGAAACACTTCATAGGTTTACTCTGTGGCTAAAACAGGAAACATAAATAGCTGTGATAGTCGGGAAACCACCACAGTAATTCCAAGAAGAGCTGGTCAGAAGCTGAACTAGGAGAAAAGTCACTTCCGCCCAAATTGTAACGAAACAATTATTTTAAAAGTGCTACAGGTATGTCCCTTAAAGTAAGTTCCGACTAGTGTCAGCTTCTCATCTATACCTCTTTCTCAAACCTTGAATGAAAGTGTCTAATCATCAGATTTTCCAGTAGATACAGAGACCAGCATCTGTATAAAGGAGGAGTGACTCATATAATCGTTCAATGGGGCAAATGACTAGGAGCAAGACATTAACAAGCTCCCAGAGAGACTCGGGCAGACAAGAGCAGAGAAACAAAAGTAAACACCGAGGTGGGATGCCTCAGGAAAGTGATTAGAAAGCATGCGACTCAGAAACGAACTGTGGAGATAGATGCTTCGATACAAATCACCCTGAATCTGTAAAGTGCGAAGATTAATCGACATCTTAGACTAGGAAAAGGGAGGGACTAAACTACACTGTAGAAAGACAATGTATCAGACAAGCCTGGGCGACAGGAAAGGCATCAGAGCTGGAGGAGGGGCCGGAGAAGGGGAAAAGGTGTTGAGTGAACACACACCACACAGTGGCAGTTCACCTCATTTTCAACCAGTAGGGGGAATAAAAGATGCAAAGGCTGCTTGCTCACTACAGACACCGCAAGGCAGTATTCTCATTTTACAGAATCTTGTTATAAACCAAATTAACTCTAAACAGTGTGGAATCCTCAACTGAAGCCTGAAACAGGAAAGGACATTAGTGGAAGACTTGAGAACTCCAACTAAGTCTGGCTTAAGTTTATAGCATCCTACCAAGGTTCATTTCTCAGTTTTGAGAAAGCTCTCTGGTCACAGAGGATATCAACTTAAGAAGAAGCTGATTGGCAGAATGTATTTTTAGACTTACAAAAGAGTTGCAAAATTTTCTCAAAATAAAGATTTTTTTTAAACATCATAATCATCTGTCCTCAATCAAAAAAATAAATAAATAAATAAATAGCCCCTATATAGGTAAAATGTAAAACCCAAAGGATGATATTCTAAAAAATTGGGCCCCAAAGAAATTAAGAATTGAAGGAAGAAAATAATGGAAGAAGGGAGGTACCTGCAGTCACTCATCACATGGAAAATCCAACAACCCCTTATCGTGTCTGAACTCCTGGCAATCACCTACAGTCCACAAAATGGCTTCAGAGAGGCACAAGCGCCCAGTTATACACAAGATTACATGTGTGCATGTTTCTGAGATTTTTTAACACTTAAGAATCCAAAGTTAGAAGTAAAAATAGATTATCCAAACTAACAGAAAATAAAATTATGTGACTGATTTTCCATTGATATGGAAAATCTCAAGAAAAAAATATATATGTGTGTGTGTACGTTCACTGTAGAAAAAAAAAAATACGAACAAAACCACAATTAGAATCAAAAGGAAAAATACTGGAAACAGTTTCAATGAAAATGACCAAAAATTAGCACTAATTTCCCACAAATTTACAAAAAAAAAAACTATAAACAGCCCCAACAGAGTAAAAGTAGAATAAAAATAGACAATTGGCTGAAAATTAAACAGACTTCATCATAGAGCAGCATCTACTAAGAAGAAAGTCGGCACATGGGAGGGCCGCGCACGGCGCGAGGCCGTCACAGAGCTGAGGTACTAGAGCCAGGTCTGCCGCTGACCCGAAAGCTGCGAGCCCCACCAGGAAAAGACCAGACATGTGAACTGCTTCCCTCCCGCGGAGCCTAGGAAGCGGATGGCTGCAGTCAAGGCAGGAAAAAGGTGGCAGCTCAGATAATCTGAGACTCCTTTAAGACGAGTGTGGACTGGTGTGCGGGTTGATGGACCTGGGAGCCCAGACACTAATGTGGCACCAACTGTGTGCATCAGGAGGCTTGCAGCACACCAAGAACTCAAGGGAGCGCCCAGGAGACAGTACCTGCTGACCCCCACATGAAGGCAAGATCCTCCCCTAACTGAGCAACCTGTGTAATCCCAAGAACTGGGAGTGTGGAAGGAGCAGAGGAAAAGGAAATAACCTCTAAAGCCCGAGACTGCACTAAACTGAGTCGCCGTCATCCACGGGCCTGAGCACTCTGTGCAGGGTCAAGTCCCTTTCTGTTTCCTCACGCTCAGGAAGCAGAGACAGGGCCCGCGTCCTGACCTTACCGCCCCCGACACAACATCCTGGATATCATCTCAATGCCACCGCGAAAATCTGGGCGCTTGAAATGTCTACGCAAAGTGACCTACCTGATGTTCCCCAACTTAAAGAAGGGAATCGTGCCGAGTTGAATACTCCAGGCTGAACTTTATTAGGTGTATGCGTGGCAAAATGATGGGTAAAATAAAAGATGGTTTGGTTCTCTAGCCTCCCATGGTTCATGAAGCCTGGGATAGCTGTGAGCATCAGACTGAAAACAGCAACATCACTCCCTGCCACCACCCCCTTTGGTGGGAGGGGCTGGCGATTTCCTGGTGGCGCCTGGGCCTGCTCTCACCCGTTCCTGCAGAAGCTCCACGACCTGCTGGACACAGTCGTTGACATCGCAGGAGTCCGTTTTCAGCACCAGCTCGGGCGCCTCTGGTTTCTCATACTCCGAATCGATGCCGGTAAAACCTGCGCAAGATAGAACAGGGGTGGAAACGGAGATTACCTTAGGCCTGAGTGTCCCTGCAATCCTGCTACATGATGTGGATGGTCTGAACCCCTGCGGCCCCCTAAGGTGCAGGCTGCAGGACTAGAACTCCACTCTGGGAAGAGATTTCCAATTCGGCATTGGTTTCCTCTTTAATTGTGGAGCTGATTGTCTTTACTCACAGTAGCTCCATTTGATCGAGCTGCCACAAACTCAGAACTAGTGTGCACAGCACGACGGCGCCTGGAGGGGACAAGGGTGAGCTTCCAGGGAGCCCCTGGTCTCCAAAGTCCTGCCAACTGACCAGAACAGGAGTTCACGTGTGTTTCTGCCTAAACACACCTCAGCTCACATACAACAGGCCCTCCGTGTTGGGCAACAAAGACAGGTACTCAACATCACCAGGATTTGCTTTGCCCCTGGCCTGTGATACCTTCTAAAGATACAAAAATGTTCACGATAAAAATGCCCAGGAGTAGTACACTGGCTGGGCAAGACATGCCTCCCTCACCAACACAGCCTTGCAAAAAACAACAAAATCAACCACCATTAAAATAAGCAAAAGATTTCGCCTTCAGGATCCTGGGTGCCTCATTTCACTTCTCTTTGCCAAACCGCCTTTCTGAAAAAACTCAAGTGCAGGCTGGCCGTAGGCAGTTACAGGGCTAAGCGGATTCCCGCCATTGTCACAAACCTTCAGCTCAGGCAGCCTGTTCTTCCTCAGAAGAGAAACTGCAGGCCTGACAGGTAGACATGACAGGCCCACATGACAGGCCATCAGCCTTGCCTGAGGCAGCCGACTTCCCCATGCAGGTGGGACCTGCCTAGGACTCAAACATCGCCCTCCTTCTCCTGGGGCCAGATGCTGAGTGTCACACACAGACCCCAGGAGCTTCTGTGACAGTCCCAGGTGTTCCCTGTCCCTGCTAGAGTCCCCAGGTGAGTCACTGGTCCCTGAGGGACACTGACTAAGCTATCCACCTGTGGCCTTTTTTTAATGCTGACAGGTCCTCTGTCTCTATTACCACCACCAGAACAGGACTACTGTCGAAGGAAGCCCAGGAGATAGAGTATTTATCAATGTCCCTTCTACGTGCAAGTGCGTGTCACAGTCACGCCGCAGTCTGAGTGCAGACTGTGAAACCTACACAGTGAGCTGCATCTTTTTTGATGTCATCCATGATGTGTAAACTCAGTCCAACTCAGCAAGCATCCAGAGAATGCATGAGAGACAGCGAGCACTGGGATATACTGGAAATAAGAAAAAGACATGGTCCCCACCCTCAAGATGCTTCTAATTCAGGCACCTTTCCCATAAGTGTGGAACTTCTTCCATTTTCACTGGGAAAAGAAAAGTGGTAGCAGCCAGCAAGTGATACCCAGTCTAATGCCAGGCACCACATTACACGCAGCAGGGTTCCCACTGGCCCCAAAATCTGTCTCACAAGGATTCCCACCTGAGCAACGATGCTCACCAGCCAGAGATCCCTCAGTGTGAGGACAATGCTGCCTCAGGTGCTCAAGCTGCCCCATTCCCCCAACTGCTTGGAAAAGGGATCCGTCTGAGATGTGGCAGGATAAAATAGATAAAATGCTGGAGCAAAGAGGAGCTGGAAAAAAGTCTCGCTCACCTTTAATTTCTCCAGCCCGGGCCTTTTTGTAGAGTCCTTTCACATCCCTCTGTTCACACACATGCAGAGGAGCATCCACAAACACTTCGAAGAAAGGCAAGCTGGCGCCCTCGTGGATCTGCCTGGCGTTGTTGCGGTCCTTGGGAAAAAGAGGCAAAGCGATGTGACAGAAGCTCTCCCACCCGCCACGCGTCCCCGACATCCTGAGAAGCAACAGTGCTTTCCAGCAGAGTGAGTGGAAAGCACATTAAGACAAAATAAATATAGTTTGAAACATAAACAAAGAACATCCAAGGAATCATTATAGCTTAATACACCCCTTCTACATTCAATTTTGAAATGGTATACTGTACCCCAAATCCGAGATAGGGGGCACAGCCATTCTTCAGAAGTCACCTTCAGGGCTCCAGGAAAAACCGACAACAGGTGAGACCCTTCAAACCAATTCATGAGAGACTGTGCCTATTTCACTATAGCAGCTGACAAGTGTCCCTTCTGTCTGATCTGAGTTTCCCTTACTAGACTATTAAGATTCTCACATCAGGGCTTCCCTGGTGGCACAGCAGGTTGAGCGCAGCGCTATGAAGCTATCCGTAGCCTCTGCAGCACCGATTCGATCCCCGCCGGCCATGGAGCAACCCACATGGCGCAGCAGACCTCTCCTGTATCGCCCGCTGCTCCCCTCAGCAGTGTATTTCAGTCAGTCTGCCTGTTCTGCTCCCTGCTCTGTCTCTGGTGAATCCTCTCACCCTACCGCACATCTGGCCTGTACCCTGGTTCTTGTATAAATAAATAAATCTTAAAAAAAAAAAAAAAAAAGATTCTCACATCAGGGGCTGCGTACTTTCTTTCTTGTGATATTCTTTATTTTTCCCCACCACCTGCCCCTTCAAAGTTTTCTCCCTCTCCCCTCTCTATTAAGTTCAGAAATCTCACTTCAGTTACCAGTGCCCGCTAGTTTATGATTATTCTGCTTTATCAGTTCATCAACTTTCATCCTTTATTTTGTTCTCTTATGTCAAACCATACAATTTTCTTTAGCTCTCTGATCTGCTTTCCACACGTCACCCCCCAATTCCTTGTGAATGGCGTGTCCCGCCTCTCCTGTGGCTGAGAGTATCCCGCTGTGTGGGTCCCCTCCTCTCTCGGTGGGCACTGGGTTCCCACGCACTCCAGCTATTGCAAATAACGCTGCAGGGCACAGATTCCTGAGTTGATGGCTGATGTTGTAGTAACACAAGTTTTGCTCCACCTTATGGCCAGAGGGGCCAAAAAGCAGACCAAGGTTATTCTTTCAGATACTGGATCTTAGCTGACAGCCCTCCAGATCAAGCCTTAACTTTCCCCCTTCCCAAGAGGTGCGAAGGTACAAGAATATACACCACCGTATTACCAATGTGGGATCAGTCAGGTTTGCCCAAGGTACCCTGAGTCGGCTTCCCTGAGGGGAGACAGAGGCTTGCCAATTCTACTTCAAGAATGCAGAGTGTTTTGAGCAGGGAGGGCCCTGAAGGCTGGGAGAAGCCTCTGCACTTGTCTAAGTCCTAGAAGAAACATCTAGAAGAATGTGGTTTGGAAGGTCTCATGGTTGTCGGTTTAGCAAGTGAACAGTCCTCTATCTGAAGTGCTGTCTATCTCAGAACAAGGATGAGGTCACCCCGTCCTAGTCTGTCCTGTGATGTCTCCTCCTCTCGGTCCTTGCCACTCCAGACCCTAAATCCAGGATAAATATCCTTGGTCCTCTCCATTATTTTTTGGAATTTGCAACCATGTGAATTCTGCATATGCATGTTGTTATTTTTTTCCTTTGCTAAGCCGCCTGATGCTGCTTCGATGACTTGTCCAGCTGGAGAAGAGCCCAGAGGCTTACAAGGATGACTTCCTTGGCAGCCCACCACTGTGACAATGTTCTCTCTCCCAGGAGTCAAGAACTCATGTTCTCTTCCGACGTCTTACCCAGATACTTTAAAATGATGAACAGTCTCAACAATTCAGGAAAATGAGAAGTGGCTAGTCCTCACAGAACCTTCTAGGACTCCTGCATGTTCAATTAAATGAACCCGTATGATTAGCTCTCGAGCTGATACTTATCTGTAAATCTTATAGCTCAAATGTTGTTTTTGTTTTTAAAACACCCCAGTCACCATCTAAACTTAAGGCACAGCACCAGAACGGTGCTATTACTTACTGCATGTACATCAGACACTGGGAGCTTTAAACAAGACACACCTCCACCCCCACCCCCGGGCACCTGCTCCATGCAGAGTAGCTACTACTAGTTTATGGATTGAAAAGGCCACTCGAAATAATTTAGCTACTGGCTTGACATCAATAATCCTGGTTATACTCTGGGGGAAGGCTTATGACATGCTATACCATAAGTAAATTGACTCTGAAAGTGGCAGCACACCTGAGTGTAAGGAGATATGAAGCTCGTAATGCACACCAGGCCGGCATCTGCAAACAGCTTGGCCACCTCCGCAATGCGCCGAACATTCTCCTCCCTGTCTTCCGGGCTGAAGCCAAGGTTTTTATTGAGACCTTGACGAATGTTGTCCCCATCCAAAGTGTAGCAGGGGATGCCGTGACACACCAAGTACTCCTCCAACGCCATGCTCACCGTGGTCTTCCCCGCGCCGGACAAGCCTGCCACGAACAGTCCAAACAAATTCCACATCAAGCAGGAGAATGACAGAGTAACAGCATTTCAATCACCAGCTGAGGCGTGACCGTTAGTCACAACAGCCCCTTGGTGACACTTGTGACCAATATTCTCCGTAAGGTTTGTCTCCAAGCTAGAACAATCATGGTACTTAAATAGAATAAGCACTTATACTTTTAATCATTCTTGCCTACGCCCAAAGGACTCCTAGAAATCCCTGGATTTCAAAGGCTTAACCAATTTTAATAGCAGATGTAACTGGGTATTTAGTCACTTTGTCTTTTTTTTTTTTTTAAAGACTTATTTATTAATGCATACAAGAACCAGGGTACAGGCCAGATGCATGGGAGGGTGAGAGGATTCACCAGAGACAGAGCAGGGAGTAGAACAGGCAGACTGAGTGAAATACACTGCTGAGGGGAGCAGCGGGCGAGACAGGAGAGGTCTGTGCACCATGTGGGATTCTCGCCGGCCAGCCGGGATCAAACTTGCGCTGCAGAGGCTGCGGACAGCTTCACAGCACTGCGCTCAACTGTGTGTGCCACCAGGGGAGGCCCCTACATTGTCTTCTTGTCGCCACTATTCTAAAGTGGCATGCCAAATTGAAGACACAGTTATTTCTAGTGAGGGAAGAAAGAGAAAAGAAAAAAGCAACTGAGGCTAAATGGTTAAATTGCTCTCAGACGCTAAAGCACAAAAGAAAGAATAAAAAGCTATCAAAGTTTCTGTCTGGGCTCAACTTTCACAGTCAGCAGAGCCTGGGCCTATTCGGCAGGAGACCCAGTGTGAGTAAACAGGTGTGATTCAATTGAGCTGAGCTCCAAGGCCAGATAGAGGTGACTGCAAACCTGAGCAAGGGGTTACCCCGAGGTGAGGGGCCCTAAATTCAAAACTGAAGAAAAGCCTCTTCCTACTCCCCATAAATGAACAGCTTGAAACTAGCCAATGAACTTCAGTCAAGACCACATTTCTTTCCTCCTATCAGCTTACCAGCCAGGAAAATTTAATTCCGATATTCTCAACCCTAGTCCCTGAAAACCTATAGAACATCATCACAGGGAGTTAGATTTGGGTTGATGGCCTACTTCCTTGTCAACAGATTTGCAACAAAGCTGCTTGTTTTCTCACATGGCCAGGGCATCAATCTCTGTACGCAGGGTGAACAAGAACATTACTTGGTAACAACACTAAGTGACGTATCAGAGGCCCCCTGAACATCCCGGGGCCAGTACCTCTCACTGACTGCCTCTCCAGGCTTCAATGTGCAATAGCTGACCTGGGAGAATGCCCACTGCTCCACTTACCTTCCTGCACCAGCCACGCTGAGTCACTAAACAAGGAGAAGTGAAGGAAAAGGAAACGGACATTGACACACAGTGACAACCTGGCACCTTGGCGCGTGTGCAAAGCTACAGACTCCACAGCAATGGCAGTTATGAGGCGAGAAGTCAAATCCTGAAGGCTAACATGCTGATGCTCTGGAAAGAAGAGGTGCTGGCACAGAAGACTAACGGAAACAAGTAGAAAAGCGGGCAGGGCCGTGAGAGGATCGCTGAGTGAGCTGTCTTATGGGTTTAAGCTCCACTAGTGTGAGTACAGCAGACTGCATTTCCCAAAGAGGCCTGCATCACCGTTGCCAGCCTGCAAGTTCTCAAACGGTGTGACAGTGGCAAGAGGTAGCAGCCAAGCCCCGGCCCCGGAGTCTGGGGGGCCATAGCACGCATCCGGGGCCAGCAGACTGCAGGGAAGTTGACCCTGTGTGATTGTCCATGCTGGTGAGAAAAGGCTATGAGCCAGCTGTTAAATAGCCAGAGGTCCCCCGTGACAGACAGATTAGAACTCGACTCAGAGACGGAGCTCCTGAGTGGACATGCCGAAGAACTGAAGGTGAGCTAGTGAGTGCCAAGCCATTCTCCCCACGAAGCTCAACTACAGTCATTGGAATTGTAAGATTGGAGAACAGAATTAGTGTTAATCTAGACAATAATCTAGAGCTAAGAATGTTAAGAATGCAAGAATGTGATCCTCTTTCGTACAGAAACACAGACCTACCTACAACTGAAAGATGTCACTTAGGAAAAATACTGAAAATGAGAACACCATTTTTTGTAAATGATGTTGGGGGGAAAATAAATAGGATAAAGTCTTAGTGGGTAATGGCGGGGGGAGGGGGGAGATGGGGGGAGGGTACAGCAAATTTTTAAACACCATTCCTAGCAGTGAAAGTATCCATCATATTTAAAGCCACATCCAACATCTGGCTCATGTGCCCTCTGACCCCTGTTGAGGTGAGCCCAGAGGACTGGGAGAGCAAACCAAGAAGCAGTCAGTTGCCAAAGCAAAATCTGAAAGAGAAAATTGAACATGTCATCAAACAATGTCACTTCAATACATAAAAAGAAGTTGATTATGTAAAATTCCTTGCTGCTGTTTCTCTTCATGTGGTTTATGAGAGTTTCTTGAGCGAAGGATCCAGGTGTCTTAAGCATGCAGAAGTTTGTAGACTGTAATGTGGTTTCATCTAGAAAGTACTTTTAAGATGCATTCTGGGGGGCCTCCCTGGTGGTACAAGGGGTTAAGAAGCAACCTATAAAGCTATCCACAGCCATGGCAGCATGAGTTCGATCCCCAGCCAGGGAGCTGCCCACATGGCACAGCAGACCTCTCCTGACTCGCCCGCTGCTCCCCTCAGCAGTGTCTTTCAGTTGATCTGCCTGTTCTGTTACCCGCTCTGTTGCTGATGAATCCTCTCACACCCCGTACTTCTGGCCTGTACCCCAGTTTTTGTGCGCATGGATAAATGAATCTTTAAAAAAAAAAAAGAAAGATGCATTCTGGCTAATCCTGTTTGAACAGTAAGTATGCTAACAAATCAAAGGAATCACTAAAAGGAAATCTGGTACTAAGCAACTTCATCAGTTATGTTTTGATGTCTCAGATAGCAGAACAAAGCTCAGATGTCACAGGCTGACTCCTCATTCAGGGTGTCTGTAAACACTGCTTTTGCAAAAAACTGGTTTCTCTCTCACTGTACCTGTCAGCCAAACGGTGCAACCTCGAAAGCCACCTCTGGTCCCCACCACCTGGCCTCTCTTGTTCCTGCTGACATGGTGGGCTTGATAGGTGACGTTAGTTGCTCTCTGCATCCCCTAGGAAAAAAGAGAGATTTCTGGTTCACTTGAAGTCTTTACCCATTACAACTTTATACCTGGTCACTTGTAGACAGTCACTACCCCATGTCACACCATTGGCCGTGGTTTTCAGTGCTTCACACGCACCAATTAATTCACCCCTCACTGCCATACAAGGACACAGAGCTCTTACAGTGGTTTCACAGGTGAGGGGTGAGGATGTCCAACGCAAGACGAATCCCCAGAACTAGGAGTCATCTTCTCCTTCAGTCACCCCTTCACTCAAGCACTGTCGATGGGGTGCTTGGAGCACACCCTATGAACAGAACAGGGTCCTGCCCTCCTAAGCTTACATTCCACTGGGGAAGACAAAGCAATAAACCAATAAAACTCAGTGGTGCTATCAGAGAGTGGCACGGGCACTGCAAAAGATCAAACAGGAGGACATGGAAAAAGAGGCCAGAGGTCTCTACAGGAGGATATGGAGCAGGCACCTAGAGGGCAGGGAAGGCCACTGCAGGCCCTGAAAAGCAGGATGCAAAGTGCATGGTTAATTATTTGTGGCTATTCCACCAGAAAGGAGAAATACAACTGCTGTTGTCCCAGATTTTCTTCTTTGTAAAAGGTGTATAAAATGACGCAGGGCTGGCTCAAAGGCGATGAAAAGACACTTCTCCAAAAAAAATACAAATGATGAATAAGCAGCCCTCAGTGAATGCAAATCTTAACTAGAAGGGGATGCCACTGTACACCCCGATGCAAGTTATCACCAAAAAGACCCACATCCCCAGTGCTGGGAAGGACATGGAGAAACCGAATGCTCACCTGGGTGTGGGTGGGGATGCGAAAGGGTGCAGGCCCTCTGGAGAACAGTCTGCTTGTTCTCCAAATAGTTACCCTGTGAGCAAACAAATCTGCTGCCGGTTCTATACTCACAGGAAATTAAAGTTCAGTAACCAGCTAAGAAAAAGGATAACACAGGGTTCCCAACCCTTTTTATTTTTTTCTTTCAGTAAACTGATAAAGCAAAGTGAACTCTCGAGCTCTGTATTTCCAAGATGTTAAACAAAACCCAGTGTTTCAGGCACAGACATTCCAAGGCCCCCCCCCACTCCACACACACACTGGAGAGGAAAGGGGAGCTCAGTGGCTGCAGCGGGTAGTGGGAGCAGGGCGCTCAATGGCTGCTAAGGGGGTGGAGGTGGTGGGAGCAGGAAGGTCAAAGGCTGTCTGGGCCAGGGGTGTGGGAGCAGGGAGAAAGTCAGCTGCTGCACTTGCAGAACCTGTTTGACGTCCTCATTTTCTTTTGAGATCTTTCCCCAAGTTACCTTGCTTTTACACAGGAGAAAAATGCATGCAATGAATTTTCATTAATTTTGGCCCTATGAAACATCTTTGCTTTTCTTTTAAGTTGAATGGAATGGATAAAAACTATCTGAGAAGCTAGAAGCTGCTGAGGATATTGTTATAGGGCAAGGAGAGGGGCAGCCCAAACCCCGCAAACCTGCCTATTCTAAATGGGTTCTGCCATCCGCCGCATCAACACAAAACATAGGAGACTTTAATGGGAAGGAACTTTAATAAGGAAACAATACAGGAAAGGCAAAGAATCTAGTTTCTAAATGAAGCACCCAAAGTTCCCCGTCCCCTCGTGGGTAAAAGTCCATCCATATGGGAAGGGCCCAGAGCAAGGCCCCAAAGCCTGCCCCAAGTCTAAAGCATCTTCCAGTGGGGACCCACAGAAAAGGGTCAGAAACAACCAGACAAGCCCGGAAGGAAAAGAGCAAAATCAACATCAAGATAAAAGCTGCCATGGTCACCTCCCCACGGGTCTCACCCACATCTGTGTCACCCCGTCCACGACCCAAAGACAAGCGCAGTTTCCTCACGTGTCTCTAGGCTCCATGTGCCTCCTCCAGGTCTCCTGGCTCCATCCTGCTTCCTTCCTCAGTCTCTTCTGCAGCTTCTCCTCTCCCTGCTCAGCTCCACCCTCCCTTGAGTGGGGCAGGGAACCTGGAACTTCCCCCTTTCCTGGGGACCACCCTGTTACAATCCCCCCTTTTCATTTTTATTCCACCATATCTATGGTGGCAAAAATCTCAGGGTGTAGTCTTAGGAGACAGTCTTTTTTCAGGGTTACAATGTGTGTAAGAGAAGCAACAATTAGTCAGCAGCATTGTCCATGAATGTCCAGTATGACAGTTTCATTACTTAAAAATAGTCCATTACACAAGCCAAAAGAAAAAAATTTGGAGCATTGGCTAAAACAAGGTAGCAAATATATCAAAATCACAGGGAAAAAATGTTAAAATGGTTAAAGCATCTTCCAGTGGGGACCCACAGTAAAGGGTCAGAAACAACCAGACAAGCCCGAAAAGAAAAGAACAAAATCAACATCAAGATAAAAACTGCCATTGTCACCTCCCCACGGGTCTCACCCACATCTGTGTCACCCAGTCCACGACCAAAAGACAAGCGCAGTTTCTTCACGTGTCTCCTGGCACCATCCTGCTTCCTTCCTCAGTCTCTTCTGCAGCTTCTCCTCTCCCTGCTCAGCTCCACCCTCCCTTGGGTGGGGCAGGGAACCTGAAACTTCCCCCTTTCCTGGGGACCACCCTGTTACAATATGACTGAGAAAATAAAGGGTAGCAGAGTCTTTTGATTGGTAGAAAAGAATGCTCTCTGCAGTTACTTGCCTGCTGCATTTAAAAACAGCCTGGTGGGGCTCCCCTGGTGGCACAGGCAGTTGAGAGCAGAGCTATGAAGCTGTCCACAGCCTCTACAGCACGGGTTCGATCCACGCCAGCAAGGGAGATAACCACATGTCCGGGCAGGCCTCTCCTGTTTCTCGCCCGCTACTCCCCTCAGCAGTATATTTCGTCAGTCTGCCTGTTCTGTTCCCTGCTCTGTCTCTGGTGAATCCTCTCACCCTCCCGCGCACCTGGCCTGTACCCTGGTTCTTGTATGCATGAATAAATAAATCTTAACAATAAATAAATAAATAACAAAAAACCAAAAGCGGCCTGGTAACAATCATGGCAGTCTCCCCCTTACATGGGTACGAGGCTTATTGCTTATGGATGTTTGATATTTTTCATATTAAAAATCTTAAAATATCTGTCACAACCTCCTACCAACCAGTTTTTCAGAACACATCAAAAAGTTTTAACAACTGGAATCACCAGGTGGGGGGGTAGGGAGGGAGGCAGCCTGAATTCCACTGAGAATCTGCCTTGTAGAGTCTGAGACTCTTCTACTCAACTACCCCTATTTCCCCTTCCCCTTCCTCTTCCACCCACTCCAGGCAAATCCTTCTGATAATTACGCAGGGAAGACATGACATGAGTGACTCACTGCAGTGAAGAGGGAGTTATTTCCTCCCGACTACATGCCAGCTGGCAGGATGCTGGATGGGGAGCTTGGACCCATGGGCAAGGAGCTTGTACCCACAGGGGAAGAAACCAGCTGCTGCTTCTTTCCTGAAGGTCCAGGAGACTCGGCGAGTGTCTCCTCAGCTTGTTGCTCATCCACCCATTGGGACAGCAAGATGCACAGCCCACAGCACGCCTTTCTCATCCACGGACCACTCAGTCCTTGAGGCTGCGGCTACACTGTGGCCTCCCTGGCGGACAGGGACGGAGAGTTCCCGTCCTCTGTGTTCCGGAACAGCCTGTGTCTTCTCTTGTGCCTCGTCAGAGCTCAGTAAAATTTAGCCAGCAGGCATTTATTTAAAAGTACAGTCTGTTTTCTCTGTATAACTTGCAAATGAAGCCACGACTGACACTCAGGACCTTCAGTCTAGCGGCACTGGAAAATGCATGTCGTAGTGGCCCTTCACTGCCGACGTTCAGGGCCAAGTGACTCTCACTAGGTTAACATCCCTCAGCCTGATGTGCGCGGTGGACCTTCTCCACACATTCCACACACCTCTGTCTCCCCCCCACAAGTGGCCAGAGCTCCCTTGTGGACTCACCTTTGTTAGGGGGAAGTGATGTCCTGAGTTAATCCCATACAGGATTAACTTTGTGGACCCCACCCCCACTCCAGACTAAAGCCATCAAGACTCTGGGAAAGACAAATCCCATCACCACCAAGGGAGGGTGGCTGGGACCTGAGGGTGGAGTTGGGCAGCCAGGTTGGATATAAAAACCAAACACGTGGGCCTTGGGCTCTCTCTGGCTCGCGATCGCTCGCCTCCTGGCTTCACGGCTCCTGGCTGGCGGCCAGCTCTGAGAGCGCCATTTTGGGATTCCTGATCGGCGGATCGGGTAGGACTCATTTAAAACTTTGTCTCCCACTTTTCTCCCAGAGCTGCACATTTCCTCATTTCCCCTTCCCTTTGTAAATAAACCTTTTATTAACCTTTCACGTGTGCCTGCAGTAGAGCATTGATAAGTCCTTTTAAGCACGCGGGTGAGGACCCACAGTCAGGCACCCCGTTTTGTATCGGGGTTGCTCTACAACAGTTTGGCGCCCAGCGTGGTTTCCAAGTTACACCCGCGGTTGACCAGCCCAAAGTAACATTCCTTGCGTTGGTCACCATAAGCGCACTTCCACACGGGCTGCTTTGCCATTTCATCCACTTCCCTAGGCAGCAAATTCTCCCATAATGTCATTGATAGACTATGATGCTTGTGAGTTTAGGATGGTTTTATGGAGAAATCTGCATTTCAGTAAAAGTACAAAGTGTACACCTAACACACGTAATTCTCAACTCAACACCTCTGCCCACCCCACCACCCCAAAGTGACCGCTGAACAGTGCACTGCTCCCCATAAGTACCCCTGAAATGCCAGCAGGCACATTTCTTTCACATCCCAAGACCTAACATGGAGGAGAAGGTAGAAGACAAGGCAGTTCAACTGAAGAAGAGGTGGAGAAGCAAGAGAAGAAACCTGCAGATCACACTGACGATTGAAATTCACCTGAACATTCTGAGCAGGTGAATTAAATATCTGAATTAAATATCAAGGCCAAGAGCAGAAGGGAAGACCACACCGCTGGAGTGTGCGAAGGAC